TCTGTCAAATCAGCAGCAACGAATATCAGCCTCACAGCAGCATATTTCGGGGTCTTTCGATTTGGCTGAAAATCGGTATCCAGGGCCTCCTCGATGCGCTGATTCCGAAAATATGCCTCTTTGGGGTGGTATTTTGCACCGTTAACGAGTTAATGACCAATTAACATTTTAACGGGAAACGGCGGGGTCTTTCGATTTAGCTGAAAATCGGTGTACAGGGCCTCCTCGATGTGCTGATTCCGAAAATGTACCTTTTTGGGGTGGTATTTTGCACCGTAACCGAGTTAACGACCAATTAACATTTTAATGGGAAACGGCGGGTTCTTTCGATTTAGCTGAAAATCGGTATACAGGGCCTCCTTGATGCGCTGATTCTGAAAATGTACCTCTTTGTGGCAGTATTTTGCACCGTTAACGAGTTAACGGCTAATTAACATTTTAACCGGAAACGGCGGGGTCTTTCGATTTAGCTGAAAATTGGTATACAGGGCCTGTTTGATGCGCTGATTCCGAAAATGTACTTCTTTGAGGTAGTATTTTGCACCGTTAACGAGTTAACGACCAATTAACATTTTAACGGGAAACGGCGGCGTCTTTCGATTTGGCTGAAAATCGGTATACAGGGCCTCCTCGATGCGCTGATTCCGAAAATGTACCTCTTTGTGGTGGTATTTTGCACCGTTAACGAGTAAACGGCCAATCAACGTTTTAACGGGAAATGACGGGGTCTTTCGATTTGGCTGAAAATCGGTGTACAGGGCCTCCTCGATGCGCTTATTCCGAAAATGTACCTCTTTGGGGTGGTATTTTGCACCGTTAACGAATTAACGGCCAACTAACATTTTAACGGTAAACGGCGGGGTCTTTCCATTTAGCTGAAAATCGGTGTACGTTCAGTGTCTCAGGGGCAGACAAACAAGCCGCTATGTGTTCCTAGCCATCGTGGCTGTGAAGAGTATGCGTTTTGTTTACGATTCGCCAAACAATGCATAATACATTTGCTCGTTGAAAAAAGATCATCTAGTTAATTGAAGTATTCGGTGATATGAAAAGGCTGTGGCATTTATTATTTAGTTTCCTCAGGTTGAGATAATTTAGATCCAGTGTTATGTTCCTTTGCGGCATTGTGTTCGGTATGTTGTCCTCGATTGCAAAATATCTCATGTCTGATCGTCTGATCAGTCACTGTTCCGGTTTATACTACCCGTTTCCGTAATAGACGTATTCCAGACGACAGTGGAAAGAAACAAGTATTCATAGGGACTGTGATTTTGGGCGTTTACCTACCGTTTCCGAATCGCCACGACCAGTACCTAGCGGCGGAACACCCTCAATTAAGGGGGGCACTGTCGACTTTTGATCCCATTCTTTCCATGCAACGCCCATAGGGCTAAAAAATGCCAAAATCAAAGGGGGCACGGTTCCCCGGTGCCCTCCCCGTTCCGCCGCCTATGGCCACGACCATGGTGGCGACTGGCGATACCCGAGTACCTACAACCAGGCACATAGCCAATGGAGGGACGACAGGGTCAGCCGTCTCTCCCTGGAGATGGACCACTTTTTTTGTAAATGAAAATGTGGGCCCCTCCCGAAAAATAGTGGGCCGAATCCGGGGACTTTTCGGGTTTTGGTGGGGGTATACCCTGGGCTCCGGCAAACTACAACCCCAATGAAAAACAAAAAGTTCCACCTCTGATTCCAGTGCAACTAACCTGCCTTTTTTCCATCGTCTCGCCGTTCGTTCAATTAACGGCTGACGCAATTTGTCCAACGGGGATTTGAGCGACGGCTCCGGCCAGTCAGGTGACTGCTGAGCTCAATATCCGTGCCCCCAGGCTATCGCACCTGACACGTCCCTCCTATCGAAGTGCGCTAAGCAATAAAGCAATAAATGACTCGGAAAACAATGATAGCGGTATCAGGTCACGTGCGAACGAGGCTAAGGTGCCATGGGACTTCATTTTAAAAAGATCTTCGTTATCGAAAAGCCAAATTTAGTTGTTTTTGTAGTAAAAAAGCAAATTACTTTTTTCACATTTTTTATACGCCTCCAACCATTAGGACCTTACATTTTTAGCCTGTTTGTTGATGTTCTTTTGCTCACCTTGGGTCGAGTTTTGTCGTCGGAGCCGTTATCGGTTCTGTCGGTTGATTTAGAGGCCGGGAAGTTTTGCGGTTTGTCGTGTGATGGCGGTCAGATTGTGGTCGGAGGTCGACGGGGAAGCATCTCCAGGCCGTTTCTACTCATCGCAGCCGCCACCATGGGTGATTCGGACGACCATGACGTCCATGGTAGGGATCCCGTCTCCGTTCCGTCCAGCCCGCGCTGACCGCACCCCCGGGCGGCCCCCAGTTATCATCAGGAACTGGTCGGTCCGTCAGATTGTTTGGCCGGTCATCAGCTGTGCAAATAACGCCAGTGGGCGACTAGTTGAGCAAATGAAAGCCGGGTACGATTTAAACTGTCGATATGATGTGTGCCTGGGGATTACTGTCCTTCTGCCCCCGGCAGCCCTCTTACTAATGTGGAGAGAAAAAGTCATCTAAGATCGGAAGATAGGTATTAAATGTGGTAGGTACGCATCGACGTTAACTCACTCAAACGTATTGATGGTGAAGTACCATCAATTGATCACTTAGCTTATATTCGTGGTCGGGCTGTTAAAATTCGATTATTATCATCGACGATTATCTGGAAACCTTGGGATGCTTTTGCCAAAAAGCAGAAAAATTGACCGAGTTATGGTCAATGTTTCTTATAAACATTTTACAGCTGCAAAGCCTTCAGGCATATCAAATGAGAGGGCGGGGCTTAGTGTCAAACTGAGCAATGGTGAACAATATCAGCAGTAGGCGGGGCATGTTTTTTGATCGCTGCAAAGCTTAGTTACTTCGATAGCTATTTCAAAGCATTTATGTAGAATTAGGTCGATGCATGTGTGCACTGTTATAACCCAACATCCTACAGGTCTTTCTCTGCTGTATCAGACTGGGTGGATATTGTATACGCACCTGAGAGGAAAGCCAGCGGCGCAGCTCTCTGAATAGGAGAGCACCACTATCCTCGGCGACTCGCCATTGATGTGCGGAGGAGTCGTGACGACAGATGACCTCTCTGTGACCATACAGGCCGGTGGGGCGACGTGTATTGATCTGTGTGACCGGGTGTATTCACTGTCCGCACCACTCCCCCGTATACGCCGGCTCTCAATGGCTGCCTGCGCCCTGAGCGGTATCACCTGTGGCGGATGAGAGTTGGTGGAAGGACAGAGGGCTGCCGGCAGGACGGATGGGACGTGGGAGACGGCAGACGGCAAAGCACCGTCAGCTGGGGAGTCAGAGTATCCTTGTGTCTCGCATCGGAAAATAAGTGTCCGTTTGAGTGATTGCACGGGCTACAGAAGTGGCTGTTTAAGCTATAATCTTTTTTATATCGAGATAACTAGTTCGGAGGACATCATGCTTGTGAATGTCAAATATTGCTCATCGCTATACCTACCTATGTTTATACTATATGTTTTATAGGTATTACTCTGATTTCAGCCTTTTTTAACTGAGTTTTGTCAACAAGTTTGTGCATACGTACTATTTTCGAAAAAAATTACTTGGTGCAGGTACAACGCGCTGTAGGTCGCTGTCCAAAAAAAAAAAACTGACGACCTGTGTTAAAAAAACTGACCGTTCTCAATCTCAATAACCAAGTCTGCCCTGAGTCTGGCTGGATGAAAGTTGAGGGCACTATTCTCTGTAACTTCATAACTTAGCGTCCGGCGGGTGGTCAGTGATTCACTTTGCGGCTGGACGGTGAGAGGGGAGGGGACGGAAGCGTCAGTGGCCGGCGGGCTCTCTACATAGAACGGAAGTGGTCCTGTTAATATCATCCACCGACGGGCTCTATCGGAAATATGGCACCGGAAGGACGCGGACGTGACCTCAATATGCGCGAAGTACCTAATCATCAATGCCATTTTGAAACGAAACAGTCTCTTATTATTGATAGCTCATGATGATTGACAATGATGTTTGTTCAGTCTCCTTAGATGATCGTTCAACCCATCTCATACGAAGCGTCAAGCGATGTTGGGTTTACTGCCTTGCGGCACAGTCTAGCAGCAGGCGTTCATCACTGGTTCCATCTAGCGGCAGAGCTATAAGCTCACGTGCACACGTCACTGACCGCCGTCCGGCTGTCATCAGTCAGCTGCTGAAGTGTTGCTAAAATCAGGCAGATATTTGCTCTGTTTAAAACAGCACAGCCCGGGCCGATCTATATAGATCCTAGAAAGCTCCCACTGTTGTAAAACACGATTGGCAGCATCACGGCACTGTCTAATCCCTATCGTGAATTGGTGAACATGACGACGACTCGGCAAGGAACATGTTTGATTTCAACGAAACGTTATTATTCATTCGTCGGAACACGGATTCATCATGTCAACAGTTCTTAAATGCCATGTAGGTAGTAGTAGTGTGTCATGTAAAAGCTTATAATTGCGAATATTTTTATAGGTATCTTTCTAAAGCCCCGTGTTGACAGAAAGTAGGCACCTACTTAATTCCTCTAGGCATATCTATTACCGTAAAAATAAGTTTCGATAACGCGCCCTAACAATACAGTTGTATGGGCTAAACGCACTTGCAACATGTCTTGCGAAGTGGAGATTCTTTCTCATATGAATCGACTGGATGAATCTTATGGTCCATAGCATGTTCCTTAGGTCTGTCTATGACTGACTATGGTGACTGCATTCTGCGACCTGACTGACTGTGATTCTACGACTGACCCTATGACTCAGCCTCTGTGACTCTTTTTCTATGGCGCTGTAACTCTGACTCTGTACTTCTGTAACTCAGTCTCAGACTCTGACTCTGCCAATGACTCCCGCTCTGACTCGATGTGGCTCTGTCTCTGTGTGACTGCGACTCTGACTGGCTGACTCTGCGACTCTAGCTCTGTCTCCTTGTGACTGACTCTGACTCTGTGGCTCTGACTCTGGCAGACGGTGAGGAGATGAAGCACAGCTTCAAGCTGTTGCTGTCGATGAAGAAGGAGCCGGGCGGCCAGCCGCTGTTCTACAAGTCGGACGGACAGCGGTTCGCCCGCGAGAAGACGGTCAAACTGAACACGCACTGCCAGTACCGCATGGACCTGTCGTTCACGCCGCCCCGGGAGGTCGAGTAAGTCACACGATCAGCTGCTCATATGTACGGGTGATTTTTTATACAGGACAAAAAGTAAAGAGCAATGGCGGTACCAGAAAACAGATCAACTGACAGCAAATGTATATCTTTGTAAAAAGCACATTCTGACATTTCATTTGCACATACAAACTTTGAGTTTGAGCTCCGTTTAGGCTTACAGAACGAGCTCGCAGTGAGCACAGTTTTAATGCACGCAAGCCTGGAGTAATTGGCGATTTTGGGGAAAACATTTTGTTGTGCGCCATTTTCACGGAACTTCACAACAGAATGAGTCCCAAGAAGTCTTTAAAAGGTCCTGAAAACAAAATGACAAACAATTTCCTTTCACATGGATATACTTTTTTGGCGTTTGTTATATGTTTTGGTATCTCTAGGCTTAAAAACTTTTTGCCCTGTAAAAAAATCACCCTGTAGATGGCATGCCGAAAAATTCACACATCCATTTACAGCCACCCATTCAACCATTCGGACAAACTTTCTTTTAAAAAAATCTGCTAAGAAAAAACGATTTGAGGGTGAGGTGAACTGACTTTTCATATCAGAGTTCCAGCAGAGAATAATCAAAATGTATGCTGTGTGTGCAGTTCAGACATCGTATCTATGTCCAACAAAAAATGCGGATCAAGACCGTACTCATTTATGCATTTCGGTAATAAACGTCCAGTGCATCAGTCAATACATCAACGTGATACAACGTAGGTGACATGGGCTATCAGGAAACAATATTTACATCGAGTTATTTACAATTTGAAATGACGCATACCGAATGAATCTCAAACGGCATGGGTAACACATTAAACGCCATATTCCGTATCGCTTGGTAAATTGCAGCTCCGCAAATATCCCAGTGTCGCAGAGTCGCCCGCCGCTACCTTGCTTTTCGTGCTGATCAGACTTCTTGTTATCAAATCATCGACATCATGTTTATGGGAAATGTAATTGTTGTTTTGGATGGCAACATTTTAAATGTATTATTCCCCTTTCTTGACCGTTTAAAGAGGCATCATTTCATAACAGTATTTGTACCAATGGCACACCGCTATTCATACACAATAGCCTGGCGTTTGACCTTCCAGCATCCGACCATCTTACTTTGGGCTCGCATCAACCGTCTCGTGGGAGGTGTTCGCTGAGGTTTGCTCGGACGCCTCAGGCTCCGTGCCGCCCTCTGCCACGGGAGCCTCACGCCCCACGTGCTCAACCGTGTCCTCGGCCAGCCAGTTGTCCATCATCTGCTTCCGCGCCGCCTCCTTGGCCTCCAGCTTGCTCTTCTGCAGCTCCTCCCACTCGACCAGATTGGTCTGAGGATTGTTGGTGAACAAGTACTCGGCTAGATAGTCGACGGGGTCTTCGGGTTTCACTTTGGCGCACTCCAGGAGGCCCTGTGTTAGCGTCGGTATGACGTGTTTCATGAGGTAGCTGCGCAGAGGCAGTGAACGCGCTTCCAGCGCCTCAAGTTCCTGTCGCTTCACCTCCGTCAACCGCTCCATCCAGACCATCTGCTCGCGGCGGCGGCTGTCCATCTCCTCGCGAGCACACCGCTCGGCCTCCTCGCGAGCTTGGCGCTCCTGCTCCAGCCTCTCGGCCTCCTGGCGCTGCCGCTTCTCCTCCGCCTCCTCCTTGGTGAGGCCGTAGTTGCGCGGCGCGCCCAGTCGCTTCTGCAGAAGCCGGCACGTGTCCTCCATACCCTCGCTCTCGTCTTTGGTCACGTCGACCAGCAGCGGGTGTACCTCGAGCTCGTCGAAGAAGTTGAGAACGGTGACGTCCTCGCGGTTGTTAGCCCGATACTCGGTGAGCCGGCGCAGCACGGCTTCCTCGGTCCAGTGCGTGCCCTGCACCTTCTCTTCAGGTAGGTTGATCGCTCGCTCACAGAGGAGCTCGTCAGGCGCGTCCAGAGCAATCACCAGCTCTGGCATGGTGGCACGGTTGTAGGCCGGCTCTCCCTCTGCTGGTGCGTCATCTGCCTCCTCGTCGACACCGAATAGGGCCTCTGCTTGCTCTACCAGCTTAGGAAAACCATCGAGCACGAATCCCTGGTTTCGGCACGGCTTAGATCGGATGCGCTCTTCCACGAATTGGAGCACGGTTGCGTCGTCTAGGCGGTTATCGTGGTTAGCGGCGCGCTGCTCTTCGATCTCAAGGAGCAGCTCGGCCGCCTCCTCTGGGGTCATTTTCTCCTCGTCCTCTTCCTCTTCTTCTTCCTCTTCGATTTCTGCGTCGATGTCAGCGTTTTCCTCGTCTTCTTCCTCCTCTTCCTCTCCGAGTGTGGGACTTTCGCCATCGCCCTCCGGTTCGTCAGGCAGAGTCACAGGAGGCGGGTCTTTGACCGGAGGGTGCGCAATCTCCTCAAGATTCTTGATCGCTGCTTCAATGATCTCGCTCAGGTGAAGATGGTGCAGCTTGTAAATTTTACACAGCTTCTCTGCCAGAAAAGTTTTGCCGGATACCGGTGGCCCAAGGATGCAAATCCGCATCGGCTGGAGCTTCCGTTCCGTTCGAAACTCTTTGACGACATCCGCTATTCCCTCCACAAAGCCACTCTCGGAGCGTCGCTCTTCGATGTTGTCCGCCAGGAACATGCTCTCCATCTTGAGGTCCGTCGTTACAAGGTCGGCGTGCAGCAGGTTCAGGTCGGTGAGGAACACGTCTTCCTTGTCGGCTCTCTTCACCTGGCCGGTGGACAGCTCGGAGCTGATGGCCTTCACGATCTCCCGCTGCGTGTTCGAGAGGCCGTCCACGGCCAGGATGTAGCGCGTGGTGGGGCGCGTGTCGAAGACGCACTGCACAACTTGTGCCAGGTCCAGGATGTGGATAGTTGGGACCACATTGTTGCCGCGACCGAAAATGGTCAGCTCCTTTTCGTTGTGCCATGCTTGCTTCATCCACGAGTGGAAGATGTCCTCGCCCTTGCCAAATGTTGCGCCTGCTGCGATGACATAGGTTTTGAACTTCTTTTTGTTAGTTTTGCCCAGTGCAAACGTTGTCTTCTCGCAGTTGAGATGCTCCTGGAAGTGTGGATGTGGTCGCCGGCGCCGATAGTCGTCCTCTGTGAACGGCGAGTCTGGATCGTCCGGATCCAGCGGCTTCGTTTTGGCCCATGTCATTACGGTTGAGATCAATATGAACACCTTCCTTTTTGGCCATAGCTCCAGTCGATCATGCAAAGTCTCCACTGCCCAGGTGGCTTCCTCGACTAGCTCCTGTCCTCCGGAGGTTATGTCATAAATGATGACCTCGCATAGTTCTAAACAAGCCAACAAGGTGTCCCTATCTGCTGCTTGAGCTGCTGTCAGTACAAGCGTCCCTGAGGGATCTGAAACAGTTTTCTCGTGCCTCTGCACACCATGAATTGTGGTCAGCGATTTCTTTTCCTGTTCAGCGTCGTCATTTTCTTCGTTTTCTACTTCTTCCTCTTCCTCTGGAACAACAGCTTGCACTTGACCAGTGAAAAGCTCAGCTAAATTCCGACCGAGGTACGAGTCGAGCGTGCTTAAAAAGATGTGTTTTTCGAGCTCGGGCTGTGGCGTTCCCTCTTCATTGTCTGACATGTTTGCGTTCTTATTGTTCTGATCCTCAATTCTTTTAGATAACTTTTCCTAAATGGTAGGTACCTTTACGGACGCAGCTTTCTGGACTGTTCTTACAAGATAAATGCACGTCATACGACTAGAGGGATAGAAAGATGTACTCACAGTCAGACTTATGAATGATTATCACAGTCATATAAAATGAGAAAATTAATGGTTTGATGCGGAGCACAAGGTCGCAGGTTACGCTGGTACGCTGGTGCGGCGATTGATTTTAATTTTTGGAATTAGTCGATGCATGCGTAGATAGCATAAAACAGTCCTCTTTCCGAAGGATATATAGGTACCCTGAACGGTGGGATTGCGGGTTTTCATGGATCATGGACTTAAATATGGCAAAACTATGTAAGATAATTGAAATAAAAATACATGCAAATATTGTACATGCAATAATGTACGTAAGATTATTGCATGTATGTCGGTTGAGGTCTGAAAAATATTCGCACCGTTAATATGTCGCTCTTTATAATTTCAGAGCTGTAAACTTCGGTGGGGAAAACCTCGAGTTTCACGAGGTGACGAGAGACAGTACTGCGTCGGCGTACTCGACCTTCTTCCACACGCAGGACTTTGATATGACCAAGAAGGGTCACCGGAGGGAGGTGCCCGTGATGGTCACGGTAAGCGAGCAAAACCTTGCACCTGACCGACATTGCTTATTGGTAGCATATTTAATTGGTCGTGTACCTAATTAGTTTTTAGCTGTTAATATTCGATTATCATTGATCGGGGATAAGTCTTTGATGAGCCATTATATATAGCTAACGGCCGTTGTTTTGCAATGACGCTTAGGCACTCCAATTTGCTCTTGTTAATCATTGTCGTTAAACCTTAAATTAATGATGCCAGTTGGAGCTTGTCGGATCAAATTCGAACCCTCGCAAAGTTGTTATTTTATCGCATTATCAATCACTCGACATTTGATTACGTCAGAATAAGAACAGTATTCGACTTCCATATTATTTTTCCATATGATTTGAAGATAATTTGAAAGTGATCGCAGTCTCCATAGTAAAGGCAATCTCAGTACCAATGTAGTTGCATCAATAATTTGCACATTTCGTACTCCCTGCTGATTACCTCGAGTCTCTCAGGGTTCCGTATGTCTTTATATAATGTATGTCTTTCTTCCCCACAGCTAAAGGACGTGGGAGAGATGCGACTAGTGATACAGGTCAAATGCTACGACCGAGACAACGTGCAGCACAGCGAGTGGGGCTCCAACTTCCACTGCATCGAGTACCTCTGCGAGGAGCTCGACTGCCGTGCCGTCGACATCGTCAAAGAGACCTTCAGATAGGGCCACCGGCGGCGGCGGAGGGCAGGCGGGGCGGGGCGGCGCTGGCGCGTGGGGAGTGCTCGCTGGCGTTTACAAGTGATTTATGGGTGTGTCCCGATCCAATAATCGTCGGCCGGTCACGTGCGGCGCTAGGTTGGTGGGGGGGGGGGGGGAGAGGGGGTGCGTGTCTGAGGACCGAGGAGGCTCGGTTGGCGGCAGAAGGCTAGCCCGCTGACACGGACGAGGCACGGGTGGGTGCTAACGACATTGATACTGCGGTCACGCAACAGCCAAAGGTGCAGCCACCTACTGTGAACCCCCCGCGTGAGCCGAGGGCTACTAAGAAGCGAACGGACATAGCTTATAGTGTTGTTTCAAGTCAAGCCAACGGCTTTAACGTGCTTATGACGTAATGATAATTTGTTGATGGCTCACTGATGATCCCCAGATATTTTACCCCTTGGAGTACATAAATAGTTTCACCCTTAGTTTTTGTCCTGTATGTTTCCCGTTTGTCGCTAGAAACCGTGCCATAATTTTCTGCATTTCCCAGTGTTACTCTGTGCCGACTTTACCTACTTTACTGCTTGCGAGCTGTTGTCCGAATGTGACCGTTCATCGTTCGGTGTGCCTCAGCATGCCAATCGCTGTATATAGATGTACGGCGATAAAACAATGTGATGTTTATGAGCCGTGTCATGTTTATACGCACAATCAGAACAATAAATCGTGACAGCGTGCCGACTCCGAGAGACGACAGCAGTACCAATCGAACCTTTGTGTACATCGATATTGATTTGCCGGTAAACGGCTATCATCAAAGTTTGGAGAATGGCTTCAGCACCAGAGATCTATCATAAAATTTCATCAAAAGATCAACGTCAAAATCCTGCACTTACTTTACCATACCTTTGCTGCACCACACTTGTCACATTGCTAGCACGCAGCCTACCATATTTACCCACTCTACTCGACCGTTCCTGACTTTTCGCCTGAGTCGCATTTGACCTTTCCTCGTCGCCAGTCCGTCCACGCAACAGCTGTCTGGAGCGTCGGTCCGTGTACTCAGTCATTCCGGACCGGTCGACTGTCTCACGTTGGCGTCTGTGTCTGCTGAAATATGCAAAGCATCGAACAGCAGGACCTTCGTCGAGTGGTACATTACTTCTGCGGGCTACACACAAGGGTGCATTGGCAATGGCGGAAGTACGACGCATGTGACAGTTTGTCCATGCTTTTGCAGCGACGAATCGGGAAACGTCATCACTCATCAGCCGTGCATTGCATGACACCAAAGTCGATGAAGGAGCTAATAACTGTGAACGATAACTCAAGTACAAGGTTCCGCAACTTTTGATGTTTATCACAAGAACGTTAAGGCAAAACAACAAAAAATGAGTGCTGCTATGTTTTTGAATAGAAAAAAATCCACAACCTTCTAAAAAAATAATGTAAAAATAGAGGCTTTGTTACAAGGCTGGGCTAACATGAATGCATAATAGGTACACGCGTGCATATTGATCTGCAATTAATAATTGACTGGGGCTGGCATTCAAAAGCATTTGCTAGTGTTCGACAGGCATGTAGGTATCTGCCTTTGGGCTGCGTCGCATGGGGCAAAATAGGTAAATGGGGAGTTGAATGTGAATAGCTTGGTACACTACCCACATAACTCCCACGCAGGGTTGTATACGACTCAATCAATAGCAATCAATTCAATCACGACAAATTTGGGAAACCAATCAAATCAATCAAGTCAGAGCAGTTTTCGGGAATTGATTCAATCGACTCAAACGCGACAATGAAAGGAATCAATCAACTCAATCAAACGACTCAAACCAAGACCTACATTAGGTTTTTTGCCCCACCAACTTGGAAAAGTGTCCATAGCAGTCTGGTGTACCTACCTACCTACCTACCTACCTACCTACAGAAGAAACATAAAAATATTGTCATTTAAAATTATAAATTGCCATGTCATTCAAAGTTTCTATGCAATAAGGAAGGATACCTAGTGATGGACAGGTGGATCATGATATTGAGGTTCAATGGGTAGAATTGGAGCAGAAGTTTCATTTAATGGGTGCAAAATAACCCAGTAGTTGACTTCAACAAACGCCCCCCAAATCACCATCTTTCACCTAAAAGTTGTCAATTTAATTTTGGCCATATTCCAGCTAAGTCATCAGGCCATCTACCCCATGTAAAGCCCCTGTCTGTCTCTTATGTGAGTTATGCGGAGCTCTTCTGAATTGAACCCTGAACATAATGAACCTAGCTAGGTTTCATGCCACACTGACACCATATGAAAGTGTTGAAAATGACAACTTCAAATTTGACAACTTCATTAAGTATGCTTTATGAAGACAGCAGGAAAGCAGGTAGGTACCTACTTACCTGCCTAGATGTGTCACTGGCTACCAACAGTACTAACGAAGGTAGATAGGTTATATGTGAAGAATTCAAAACATTTTATTGCAATACAATTTGAAACTGTTAGGACTAGGGGATAGGGATGAGGATTAAAAATATATTTAAAAGGAAGTGGAGAGGACAGGGACTCTGGAACCACATGCACAGGATAAGTTAAGGACAAAGGAAGTAGGAACAAGGAAAATTAAAACCACGGTACATAGAATACTAGGTAACACCGGTTTGTCCGCTCAACACAGGGCCAATGGTCACCACTTTCTTCAGCTGACGTCTGTGACCTTGAGCTGACCTAGGACGATAAACAGCTGACAATTTAGGCCATTTGGAACTCACTTGACAGCTGAAGAGCGTGATTTAAAATATAAATATTCGTCAGACACTGACAAAAGATATTATTCACCAGTCATTTTTTAAGCACATTCTGTCATAAATTAGCTGACTCCTTCTGCTCTTCCACACGGCAGAAAATGCCAGTGCAAATTCTGCAGTCTTGAAGTGAACCAAACACTTATGATACACATGGTCGTTTCTCTCAGAGCACAACGGAAACTGTGAGAAAACAAGAGAGAGTCGGACTCTACAAATGAATGAATTTGGAAGAAAAATAGTTGTATTTTTTCCTGTGGAAATGTTGACTTTGAAAACATTGGCCATCAACTTTAAAATCGCCCCCAAATCTGAAAATGTGTGAATTGGCAAAACAGGCAATCTTGTTGTTTTTGCCCAAGTTTGTTCATGATTTAGAGAGATTCGATGCGAAAATGCACTGATATATACTTTTGAAAGCGAGGTCTCGATCAGTGTATTTATTTTGATTTTTAACTTAACGCTAGTCTCACTTTTCCTTCCTAGAAAATATTTTGTCAATTTTTCAATAATTCTTTTATGCGTCATTGCTTTTAAAATAAAGAGAGTCGGACCGTAATTCTTTCAAAATGACTGATCGTGCTCAATATCTATCGGAATATATAAACAGATCGGCCAGACTCATTGGCTAAATATGTTTAAATTGCATTTTTCTTACTTTCTGCAGATTTTCCTGCAAAATTTTACTGTAGTTTAAGATGCGTTTCCTGCAGATTGTGTTCACAGACCAATGGGAGACAAGTATTTCTTCATCAACAGGTTTATTCGCCATCAATTGGTCTAGCGGGTGTTTTTTGCATGCGCAGCTAATGTCACAGCTGCGTAAGAACACGTTCGCTATAAATCATTATGGATATTTCTTTTCGGGATATCAATTCAAAGGGTCAATGTGTTTCGTAGGATTTGTGGCGGCGGGATTATAGTCATTAACTAATTAGGTACTTGATATCAGATTTTAATGAGGAGTGGTCTAATGCCGGCACGACTGTTGACTTTCATTGTAATAGCCTGAGCTGGTTCCTGGGCCGCCTCAGATTGCAGGATGGTGTCAAGTATCTTGACCTGGCAGGAAGGAGGGTACCTTGACCCCTAGCTCTATATTAATCTCAGATGAGGTACGTATATATGTCTTAGGGCTTGTTTAAGTATTAACCTCACCTACATATTACCTAACATAACCTGAAATAACCAACATGCTAGAACCCTAATTTTGGTCAAATGCAGATGAGCAGAAAAATATTAACTTTTTGACAATTTGCCATGCCCATGCCTATACCTATGTCTGGACGAGGGTTTGTTGGTTACTGTGTAGATAAACTATGGTGAAGATAAAAACATCTACCGTAGCCTAACCTTGCATAAGTACCAACCTACAACTTTTGGTAAATGTTCAGAAAGAGTCCGATTCACTTTTCAGGCATACATTTTTGTTAATTCTTACACTATTTTGATTTGACATCCTGACTGAATCCAGATATGATATTTACATGTGATGCAAATACAAAACAAAAATCAAACCTTACCTAACCCCATGTTGCATATTCATATCAACTGTAGATCAGAGTTTTTTTTTCAACAAATACCCATCTTTCATCCTTTCAGCATACCTACAACCTACTAAACAGCCTAGGTATCAACCTACCATTCATACTTTATCTACACATAGGTACATATTGATATATTGGGCAAATATGGGGTATGTTTTGTTCAGTAGGTTATAGAAGTCAGGTGCCTACATACATGTTATCATTTGTCATGCTTTGATTTCAGGTGGTGTCTTGTGGGCTTTATAGTGGGCTTTATGGCCCTCTCTAAGTGCAAGGGTTAAGTGTTGATGCACATAATGCAATGTGTTTTTTCATGGACGCAGGAACCTCACAAAGTGGAGGGGGGGGGGGGCAGAGAACTTCAATGTCACTTTGTGGGAACCCCAATACCCCTATGATTTATGAACAAATTCTTTGCAGTTTTGTGCTCATCTCACCTTGCCGAACCATTTCTTGCTCTTAGTTTTGAATTTAAATGAAAATAAATATTTTACTTTAAAAATTAGCTTAGCTGAAAAGTAGGGGCATGCCCCCCCCCCCGCTCCTACGCCTATGTTTTTTCTTAATGGTACAAATCATCCAGATTCATATGAGAAGGGTTGGTAGCTAGCTACAAAACCAATGCTTCAATTGTTTATTGTTTTCTTACAATAAGTCCCTCCTCTGCCAATCGCACTAAACTATCTACTGTCACAATGCAGTGTGCGTCATGATTTCTCAACTGTATGCATACAATTCTAGTTGTCAATCACACATTGGTTTTTTTACAGGCTTTCCGGTTATGACTGAGGCCGGCATCTCACCTGTCGTGGCTACGCCAAATCATTGCGGATGCCGGATGCCGAGGACCGGAGAGCCAACCGCTTTGAGGCGTGAGCTCTGTGGCGTGGCTCGAGTGATCACCAGGTTCTGACGGCTACGGCGCCGTCGATCTGGTTGAATAGCTGGGGCCTGGACGAGGGTGCCCTCAGTACGATGGCCAATCGGTTACGTCTGAGGGGCGCTCGAACACGCTGCCGTCGCGTGGCTGCCGGCGGCCGCCCCTCGCACGTGGATCTCCTGGAGCGAGGACTGCGAGAGGCGGCCGCATCATCACCTGTGTCCGCGCTCAACACCGTGCCACGCACTAATGGCGGAAGCCCGACTTTCTCCGATGGAGGAGAGAAGCTGGACGCTGGCTGCCAGGCTGCTGGGGAGGGCGCTGGCTCTGCTATCAGGGGACCCCCTGCGCGCGACCGCCGAGGCCTCGGCACCGGCGCGCCTGTCTTCGGTCCGAGGCTGGAGATTGCGAGGCCGCCAGGCCTGGGCGAGAGCGAGAATCCCACCGTGGCAACAGACGGCTGGCGTCACCTTCCGGTTGGACGTGCGCCCGATCCGGGCTGGGGTCACGGCGGCGGA